ATAATCAGTAATATTTCCCAATTCAAAAAAATTAATTAAAACTTTATTCTCAGGGTGTGTTAATAATTTATTTCCATCACAAGCTATATTGCGACAATAAAACATCATTAATTTTACAACCAAAATCTCCAAAGACATATTATTCACTCGTTAAATTTAACTCTGACAAGATTGTTCGATCTACTTTTATTCCTGACTATATTCATCAATCAAGAACGAGAATTTAGGGTTTAACTATAGAGACATAAAAATTGATCCGCAGAGGTGAAGAAATCGTTTCTATATATTGTGCGACTATATTGAATGTGTACATGTCTATATATGTATATACATATATATAGTTGATGACAAGCTGTGGCTTTATACCCCTGTTAAATCTAGTCTCCGATGACTATTCGCGATAAGTCCTCTTCCTTTCCACTAATAGGAATATGTATATAGTAAGATATCATCAACGATGCCGCAGAGCGGGAATTACTCGTTCTGACAGAATGATTCATTATGCGACTTTTTCATATGTGTTGTTGGAAATAATGGAGAAAACTTGACACGATAATCTAAGTGAGATGACGTCGTCAGATGTGCACGCAATATTTCAGGGCGTATAAGCATATGTCAAAAGAAGGAAAAACGTTGAAATGCCACTACACAGTAAACCTAACCAAGTGTATATACATTGTACGTGACATGCTTTTAAAAAACGATATTAAATAATAATTGTATCAGTTAGCTTATATATAAATATACGCTTTTTACCTCTATAAGAGTATAAAAATAACTTGCGCCACTATTTTTTTCTCGCTAATAAAAACTTTCTTTTACTTTTTTAAGATTAGATTACTATACACGAATAAGTATTTTTAGTTCACATATATATTTATGCAAATCACATATCAAGATTTCTAGACATTTATCAAAAAAAGTTTATAACCTTTGATAAAATATATAAATGATAAAACTATTGAGATCGACATTTTGAAAGATTACAGAGAGAAAAAAAAAAAAATTCCAAAAGATGACACATTGTTCAAATAGAGGAATGAAATTTCTGCATGAAAAATTGGTTCAGGCGTTTGCCTCACACTCGCGTTTCAGATCATAAATCGTGAACTGGTTCGTGTCACGAAACGCAAGACATGTAATCCTGGAGCCCTTTAATGTGCAATAAGCCTATGGAAGAAAGCTTCGCGCATGATTTACGAACTCGCGGGGGTGTGTATATAGCCCAGTGTGTGGTGTATTTACGTTTATGGCTCCTATACTATTTTCCAAGTAAACTGTTTGTATGTGTTTGTTAGGTTATCCGCCATCCTTCATGTCGCAGGAAATGGCGGTCGTCAATCACAACATGTGACATGCTTTGGAAATACAACCAACCTTTTGGAGAAACACTTTACTGATATCATATATACTTTATGAACAATATTATTCGTATTTCAGATGAATCTTTTTTACTTTTACAAAAACAATTTTCCAAAATAATTATGCAAAAAAAAAAAATAGTCTTCAATTTCCGGGATATTAACTTCCATAAATATACTATATGTAATGTAGGCAGTAATTTTTCTCTGAGATTGAAGATCTTTCCGCGCGAAAAGTCATCAACAAACTAACGCCTGATTCATATAGCCAACACCCCCATTGTATGCCGATTCGTTATGGACTAAAGCATTTTACCCACGCTGTCATAAATTAACATTTTACGTGTCCATAGACACTAGATTGCGTGCGTATGGACGCTTTAACTGTGGGGTATATATAGGAATATCCGCCAACTCCCGGATATATACAGGGCTGCGTTTACGATTTCATTTACGACAGAAATTAGTGGGTATAATTTCTGAGCGACCGGAACGAGGAATCCCCTTTCCGCTAAATGAATTTTTATTTCCCCATTAGCATAAATATTATGTAAGCCTTAATGGGACATTCAAATGCAAAGCAAAGAATTTACGGAGGTGTTAATATACCCCAGATCTACCCCAACACACAGACACAAAGCCTCCCTTAAAAACTTCGCGTCGACGAGATAACGCGCGATGATCCAAATTTTAACATTTAACACCTTCAGACAAATTCAGATTTCTCGCTGTGAGTATATTTTCATATATATATATATATATATATGGGACATTCTCTATCAACGGGAGACCCCCCCATGCCCAAAATTGGTTCAAGTATTTTAAGACATATGTATATAGAAATAAAAGTTTATTAACCTTACTTTCAAATGCCGCATGGCCTTTTTGAAAAAACCAATATGGCGGACCAATATGGCGGTTATAAGTGCTATAGGTCACTCAAAAAAAGTAGTTTATCGTGTTTTAAAATTAAAAAAGTGATCCTAGAACATCGGGAAAAGCATATTTTCGTGTAATTTTTATCGATAAACACGATTGTAATATTTATTTTACCGGAAAAAATTATCTGTCGTCCCTAACCTCAAAAAAAAACACGAAAAATACAGTTTATTGTGTTTTACGCTTAAAAAAGATATCCTAAAACATCGGGAAAATCATATTTCCGTGTAACTTTTATCAATGAACACGAATCTAATATTTATTTTAACGGAAAAAATTATGTGTCGTCCCTAACCTCAAAAAAAGGCAGTTTATCGTGTTTCACGCCTGACACAATCATCATAAAACAATGAGAAAAGCATATTTTCGTGTAATTCTTATCGATGAACATGAATGTAATATATATTTTATCGGAAAAAATTATGTGTCGTCCCTAACCTAAAAAAACATGAAAAAAGGCAGTTTATCGTGTTTCATGCGTGACACAATCATCATAAAACAATGGGAAAAGCATATTTTCGTTTAATTCTTATCGATGAACATGAATTTAATATTTATTTTATCGGAAAAAATTATGTGTCGTGCCTAACCTAAAAAAATACAAAAAAGAAAGTTTATCGTGTTTACCGATCCTGCGAAAGGATCGTGTAGGTAAATTGAAAAGAAAATAGAAAAATTCTTATAAAATATCATGACGTAGAATTAGAATTTATCCTGTAAAATATTCATTTAGTTCTAATTTATGAGCAATGCGTATCACAGTATCAAAAAAATGTAAGTCAATTCTGGACAATTCATAGAAAAAACCTGATCTTAAGTAAGAGAAACATATTTTTAGGTTATGAACGTGAACACATCTGTTTTGACAGAAAAAACGGTACTGCCAACCTAAACGATGGCCCGAAATTTGAAAACTAGTAACATTAATTATTCTTTAAATAAATACATAATAGTCAATATTTTTACTTGAAAAATATAAAATATTCGCACTGATGTTAATAATCTATTTAATATTATTCAAATATTAGAAAAAATTAATTAAATGATTTAAATTTTTTATTATATTATTATTAATTTCAGCAATAAAATAATCTTTATTATTTTATTTTACAGATGTTTAAAAATGTTAAATATAATTTATTAATTAAATAATGTTTATGCAAATCTTTTATTCTGTTTAAAAAAATTCATTAAATTAAATTAATTTCATAATTTTTTTAATTCGAATTTATATCTAACTTCTTTTTCTATTATTTCCAGAAATTCAATTTATATACTTTTAATTTTATTTCTCAATATAATTTTATTTTTAATATTTATCAATTTATAATTTTCCAAATAATTTATAACAATTTTATAATTTAAACTTTTGACTATTAAAATACTATTTCAATACTAACCTAAAAATTTGAAATTAAGGCGGTATCAAAAGGAGTAACTTGAAGATTGTTATTTACTCAATTTGATACCAATCTCAAAATGATGTTAATCAATAAAACTTTTATGATATTATGCTATTCATAATGTTTCGTAATAACATTTTTTAGCATGCAACACGATAAACTGATTAATCCATGCTTTTTTTAGGTTAGGGACGACACATAATTTTTTCCGATAAAATATATATTACATTCATGTTCATCGATAAGAATTACACGAAAATATGCTTTTCTCATTGTTTTATGATGATTGTGTCAGGCGTGAAACACGATAAACTGCCTTTTTTTGAGGTTAGGGACGACACATAATTTTTTCCGTTAAAATAAATATTAGATTCGTGTTCATTGATAAAAGTTACACGGAAATATGATTTTCCCGATGTTTTAGGATAACTTTTTTAAGCGTAAAACACAATAAACTGTATTTTTCGTGTTTTTTTTGAGGTTAGGGACGACAGATAATTTTTTCCGGTAAAATAAATATTACAATCGTGTTTATCGATAAAAATTACACGAAAATATGCTTTTCCCGATGTTCTAGGATGACTTTTTTAATTTTAAAACACGATAAACTACTTTTTTTGAGTGGCCTATAGCACTTATAACCGCCATATTGGTTTTTTCAAAAAGGTCATACGGCATTTGAAGGTAGGGTTAATAAGCTTTTATTTCTATATACATATGTCTTAAAATACTTTAACCAATTTTGGGCATGGGGGGGGGGGTCTCCCGTTGATAGAGAATGTCCCATATATATATATATATTCTTATCGTCGTGGCAGTAATTAATAAGAAGTAAATTATCTTATTTTGATTTTCATAAGTAAATTAAATTAAACCTTTGCTTTTTAAAAGTTTAAATTTTCAATTACTGTCAATTAAATTTAATTACAGTGAAACCCACGTATATCGGATTTCAAGAAACCGGAAAAAAATCCGATTTAAGCGGGAATCCGGATTATGCGGGTCCGATATACGTGGGTATCACTGTAAAATCACAGAAAAACTGTGAATAAATTTTGTTGTAGGTAATTTTAACCAATTAATTCAGATAGACGAATGGTGCCCTCAACTATATAGGATAAAAGTTGCAGTTAATTTTTATAACGATTTTGGGTTAAAAATTCTACTTTTTTTCGTGTTATTAAAAGAGTAAAAGGGGGTCAGAACGATGAACAGTATTTAATTGAAATTCAATTTATATGATTAATATAGAAATTAACTATATCATGCGTTGTTAAAAACAAAAAGAACTTACATGATCATGGGTCCTAAATTACAGCTTCGGGGTCCAGGTCCAAAGCTTTTCTTTTTTCTTGGGCCTTTTAAAGAGCCAACTAAGCAGTTATCATCCGCGAAACAAAACGTGCCGCACTGTTAATCTAAAACAAAAAATAAATTCAATTAATAATTAAATTTTTAATTAATTTAATTAATTAATCACTAAATAATTATTTTAAATCTCCTTTAACGATGTAATCTATCAAATCTGTTTCATCAGCAGTCGATAAAACAGTTTTAAATTTATGTAAATCGTCAAATAAATTTTACCAGCAATCGGTATAATAGTTTTATCGGTGGAATTATTGCATATTTAATAATCAGTAAACTCTACGGTATTAGAACTCGGTAAAACAATTTTAAAGTCAGAACTGTTTTATCAGCAGTAGGTAAAGCAGTTTTTTTAACCAAGCGTTATTATCGATTTAATCCGTCTAATCTATTTTATCAGCAATTGATAAAATAGTTTTCATTAAAAATTATCGATTTAATAAGTCTAAACTGTTTTATCAGCAGTCGGTAAAACAATTTTAACTAAGGACTATTATCTATTTAATATTTTATTAAGTCTAATCTGTTTTATCAGCCATCAGTAAAAAAGATTTTACTACTAAAAAAATTAGTGTTTCGTACACATTTTAAAAAAATTGTTAATACTTGGATTGTTTAATTTTTAAAAGATTGTAAAATAATCTGTATAGTCTTAGGCGCTTCCTTAATAAAAGAAAATTTAGAGGCTTTCAACACAGTATTATTCTCTCATAACTTCCTCTTGATTAGACTGAAAATGCTCGAGATGCCGACAAAACTTTGCGGCGAGCTGTGCCCATTATATCGTAATGTTCAAATCCTCAGGTTTAACGACTAACGTTTGTAGCGCCGCCTTGCAGCCATTTTAACAAGGATATTCCAATCCTAGAGTTCATAACCATAATCATAATATTCCCGTCTATATTATGTCATAAATGTCCTTTATGATGGATATTTCGCTACGTCAAATATATTCATGAACAGACCTATTAATTCCAGTACATTTTGTTGAATGTATAACAAAATTTTATTTGAATTATATATATATACCTACTGTTTTGTTTTGAATGGGATTTTACTAAATTCTTTTGCAATTATCATTAAACTTTGGTTCGCGATAATTTGAATGTAAAATAAAATTTAAAATCATTTACTGTATATAGTGAAAGCTTTAAAATTAACCAATATTTAGAATTGATTTCTTAAACCCGATCTTTACCGGGTTCTACTATAAATGAATTATGTAAAATTTTACACGAAGAAATATTCTTTATTTTACACAAATGATTCCAAATTGTTTAAGACTTAATTATGATCAAGAAAATTTACAAAATGACTGGGATATTTTTTTAATAACTGTGGTGTAAGAATATTTCTTTAGATACAAATTCTAAACATATGTAAGGTCATAAGAATTTTAATCAACACGCTATAGTTAGCGAACTATGGTCGCTATGTGAACGATTCTGATTAAAAAGGGATATAGTCGGGGAACATAGGAAGGGTCAACAAGTATGCTAAAGATCTTTGGGGGTCCGCTACTCGTAAGTAAGCGGAAAATTTACTTTCTCGATTTTATCAATCGTTGCGGTCGTCAAACTAATTAACAATTTGGAGAGGATCTGACAATTATATTTATTTCATATTTAATTGATTTTGGAAGTATTTTTTAAGAAGATAAAAAATTTAATATTTCTCATCAACTTACACAATTTAAAGTAATAGGTGACAAAGAATTCTTATAAAAAATGAAATTGCTTACAAATGCTAAATAATGTTTGCTATCAGATCTATAAATATTAGTAAGCACAGATAAATTTTTTGCTATGAAAACAAGAAAGTTTTCTGTGATAAACAATATGTTAATTTTTGAAAAACTGTAAACTTTTTTCAAACCCCACAGAAAATTTATTCGCTGTCCTTACATATTAGCTAACGTAATTTGATGTGACAGTAAAATAGTTCGCTACTACAGCAAAATTTTCTTATGCGCATAAAACTATTAAATAGGTCAGATAAGGAAAATAAGATAAACATGCATAGAAAAAATTTGCTGTGGCAATGAACTATTTGCTGTTACATTAAATTACTCTAGCCACTATATATAGGGACAGCAAACAAATTTGCTGTGGGGTCAAAAAAGTTTGCTGTGATAGTAAATTTTTAAAAATTAAAACTGATGTTGTTTATGACAGCAAACTTTTTCGTTGCCATAGCAAAAAATTTAGCTATGGTCACTAATTTTGATAGATCCGATAGCAAACAGTAGTTAGCATCTGTAAGCAATTTCTTATTTTCTGTGAAAGCAAAATTAAGTATGATATTTTATTTTCCAATAAAAAAAAGAATTTTACTTTTCAATTATACTTCTAGGTCGCATATATATATATGAATGAATTGAGGAAAAAAGAAGAAAATTTGCAGTTAACCCCTTGCTTTATAAGAAGGAAGGCGTGATGCTGTTGGGATGAAGGGTCTTGACGAGACATTATCCGCTCACGTCGACGCACGATAAATAGAGAAAATGAGAAAACGTCTGTCGGAGTGAATACGCATGGCTTCTCTCCGACAGGCTGTCACGATGCTGGCATGGCGTCGCGATGCTGTACGTCACTTCTGTTGCTTGTCTCCTCTCTCTCTCTCTCACACACACACACACAGATACACATTCACTCGACAAATATCCCAACGATTTGACGGTGGAGAACCGCGAAAGTCACAGGATTTAACGCTACGAATGTTGAAATTTTCTCCGGTAAATGTATATACTACCAGACTGATGTTCAAAAAAAAAATGAAATAAAAAATAAGAGTCTAAAGGGAATTCAAATTTGACGAATGTGAGTATTCTTGATTTCACCTCCAGTAGTTGTCAATTTATTGCCTTGACATTCGTTAAAAAAAAGTGTCTTCCTGTATTTATTCCAGTATTTTTATGGATGAAAATTTTTTTTATTTGGGTTTTTTTTGTAGAACGCAGATAAGATCGACAGTAAAAAATAATTCTCATTTTTTGTGATACATAGAACTAAATCATTGGTCGCTGTAGCTATACTAAGAATTTGTAAAGTTTAAATCTGTATAGTTTAAATCTGTATAGTTTAAATCTGTATAGTTTAAATCTGAACAGTTGAAATCTGTACAGAGTAAATCTGTATAGTTTCAATCTGTACAGCTCTAAAAGTTGTACAACTTATTGAAGATTAGGAAACATTAATAAAATCGGTTTAGATCGAAAAAATTCAGCACAAGAATCAAAAGGGAAATATGAAAAATAAGCTATATCTCTTTTATCCAAGGGGTAATAAAATTGATTCCCCCTATTTTCACTGTGAAGAATTTGACAAGAGCCATAAAGTGTATCTGATAATTCACTCTCCCTTATATATTTGTATTTCACTCGACTCCGAGAGTCTTCAGCCCTCCCCAGTCCCAAATGTAAATCCCTAGGGTGGTTGCACGGATTGAATCAGTAGTGGTATATAGCAGCAACAGCAGCAGTGCAACACTCTCGGATGAATTGGGTTGATAGAATTTCGGCAAGGAGGAAAAGCAAATGCAAGTTTGTATGGGTATTTTGAAGGGTATATGGTCGATGTAGCGATAGTACCAGCATTTGACTATATGCTATATAGGCATAAGTGGAATACATCAATCACTCTTTTTGACAGTAACAAACTAAATAATGAGTTCATGTACGACACTAACAGCCCTATAAATGCTTAATTCTCGCCACCCTACCGAATTTCTCCCTCAATTATAAAGTTACCGCAAAAATTATTTATTTACTAAACTCTTATTGTCGCTGATTATTATTTTTTTTTTTTGGACCACCCCAGAAAAATCATCTTAAAATTTTTCAAAATTCATTAAATATCATACAATTGAAAGTAAAAAATGAGTGAGGGTAAAAAAAATGTAAAAAAAAAATTCTAAAAGTGAATAAGTCACTCTTCTTTTTGCCCAACGAATTTGTAAATAAATAAAATAGATAACTGATCTACCAATTTAATTTTTTTTATATTTTTCAAAAATGTTGTCGAATGTGAAGAAATTTAATTTAATTCTGTGCCAATAAATCAATGCACGCTATAAAACAGAATACATTGATTTTGACCCCATTGAATATTGTTTCCAGATCACCGATAACAAAAAAAAAGCTTTTAGCATCACAATTTTCCACAATTTTATCTTAGTAAACCATCATATTGTATTTACAATTTTGAATTTACAAATGAAAAAATTTTATCAGGGACATATTACATATTCCAATACAATTTTTTTTTTTTATAGAAATAAATAATAATATGGAAATAAATAATAGTATAGAAAAATACAAACTGACAATTCTTTCACTGGTGCAATCAAATCGAATAATATAAAACTGATGTTAATTGTGTTGTCAGAATATAAATACACTACTGACCATAATAATCTAGGACAAGTCGTTTTTAAAAATATAGACACTAATAGCATTAAATGTATTAAAAAAAAGCGGATTAAAAAGTTTGCTACGACTGACAACGCGTTTTCCCAGTAATAAAACGTATGCGATGAAAGTGACTTTGACTGACATACACGTTGACGTATAACGGGTTGCTGTCTTTCAGGATCCGACATTTTTATCAAATACATTTCAAGAAAATGAAAAAATAAATAGAATATTAAAGATTAGATTTTTGCTTAAAAAAAATAATAATTTATTTTCAAATTTAGATATTTAATTTAATGGAAAAAAAACAAATCAAGACATTGACCCTCTTTTAAACATAATTTATCATTCCAAAAAAATAAAGAATGAGGAAAATCGATGTGTGCTTGAATTTAAAATTGAAATCAAGTACATATATATATGCGTTTAAGGAAAGATCACAAATACAGCAGAAGTGACAAAATGTTAAATTCATTGAATTTATATAAAAAAAATTAAAAAGAAAATTTTTAAATTAAAAGAAATGTAAATAATAAATTTGTTTGATAATTTAACTTAACAATAATGATAAGACGGGGATTACCTGATTTCTTATGCTCAGATGTTTATTATCTTTGATTTTTATACACCTGCATGAATTTATTTCCCAATGCCCATACAAGTATAAAAGTTATTCGCAAATTTTTAAAACCCATCATTCTCAATTATAACTTCAAACACCGCAAGCAGCAATCAAAAGTGAGTTTAAAAAAAAATTCAATCTTTCATTAGCTATATACTTTAAAAAAACAAATCATTTAAATTTTATAAAACTTTCTAGAATACTAAAGTTGTTTTATTAAAATTTTATAATAATTTCATTGAAATATTTTTCTAAAATGCAAGAAGTATTTTTTTTAAAAAAGTTTATATAAAATCAAATTTGACTGAAGCAAAATGTTTATAAAATTACTGTAAATATACATATTACTAAATGACTTTTCGTGTTTTTTAGATTATAAACCATGAAGGGAGTTTTGTCGATTTTTTTGCTCTTCTCAGTTTTATTAGCAGTAACAAGTGCTTATCGTGAACCTATACAAAGACCTAGACCAAATCAACCTGGATTTCCCAATTTTCCTGGCCAAGGGCCATTTAATCCGAGACCAAGACCACCGTATCCAGTGAGTATTGACAATAATTTAAGTAAAGAAAATAAACAATATAATTTTTTTAAAATAGGGAAAATAATAAAATCTCTATATATGAGCGATCACGGTGCGCCAGAAGGTGGTTTAAATAAAAATGAATTGGCACTTAAAAATTCTTTTTGATTATGATTCTTAGATGAATAACAAACATTTCTCAATAGTTTTTAAAATCAGTTTACGTGCCCGATTTAAATAAAATTGAGTTTTTATATAAAAACAGTGTTTTATGGGGAATCAGAATTTATTTAATCTAATAAATACTGTAATAAATGATAAAATAATTACTTATTTTCAATTTTACATATAAATAATTATATTGCTGTAGTGTTTGTGTCCAATTTTAAAAAATTAAATTATAATGTTAAAAGAACGATTTTAAGAGTGACAAAATTTACTTAAGAGAGTTGAATGGTCTCTGAAATTTTTTGGCAAGAAGAGACCTTTAATTATCGCTCTATAAAAACGTCACTAAACGTGAAAATGATAAACATTGATTTTAAAATACTTTCTTCTCGAAAGACAGACACTTTTTACAAAAAAATTTTATTATTATTATGATTATGCGAATCCATACAAAAACACGATTGCAAAACGAAAAGTAATATAATGACAGGTACATTACCTCCTGCCGCCGTCAGATGGCAGCAGCATCCAGGGCGCACAATGTCGCAGCTGTTATTAGATTACTTTTCTACTTTTTGTTTTGCAACCATGTTTTTCTATGGATTCGTACAGTCTTTTGGATTTAAGAAATTTATAAGATGAGGATTTTGGCTGATTTTGTTAAAAGTGTTCGTGTTTCGAGATAAAAGTATTTTAAAATCAATACTATTTCACGTTCAGAGCGATAATTAAAGCTCTTTTCTTGCCAAAGAATTTCAGATACCGTTCGACACTCTAAATGCATAAATATAAAAACGAAACAAGAAAATAACTTCATTGTTAATAAATTTATATGAACCCAAATCTAAAACATCTATTATCTATACGCATGTAAGTATACATTAAATAAATTCTGGTTCCTCATAAAACACTATTTTTAAATATTTAAAACTCAATTTGTTTTAAATTGGGCACGTAAGCTGATTTTAAAACCTATTGAGAAAAGTTTTTTATTCATCTTAGAACCATAATCAAAAAGAATTAAGTGCCAATTCATTTTTATTTAAATCTCCTTCTGGCGCACCGTGCGATTCCACGTGAGATTTACCTATATGACCTTTTACATTCGTCTAAATATATTTTTTCTTATTCTTTGTAGAAAAAAAAGGTTTACGTATTTTTTATTTTTTTTATAAGTGCTCAAATTTTCGAGTTATGAATTTTTCATGTTTTTTTGAAATACACCTAATTTCAATGACATGTAACTCTAAAAGTATTGAATTTAGGAATTATGATTAACACACAAAAAAGTTTCAGTTTTTTATCGACTTTCAAAATATATTAACGAAAAAAAAATTAATTTGAATTTGTTTATTAAAAACAGCGATTTTTCATAAACAAATTAAATTTTTTTAAATTTAGGCGCGATTTTTTTTTACTTTTTTTTAATTTTCACAGACATGAAAATAAAAAGAAAATTTTGTAATAAGTTTTGGAGTGGGCCTAATGATCCTTTTGTTTATATAATTTGTTTAAAAAAAAAATTTTATTTTTTTTAGTTTTTTTTTATTTTTCAAAATAAAATGTATTTTAATTTGCTTTTCTATGAATTTACTAGTAGATCCTAGTGTCAAAAATACTTTTCATTTTGAAAAATAAAAAAAAAGTAAAATATTTTTTTAAAACAAATTATATAAACAAAAGGATCATCAGGCACACTCCAAAATTTATTACAAAATTTTCTTTTCATTTTCATGTGTGTAAAAATTAAAAAAAAAGAAAATAAAAAAAAATCGCGTCTAAATTTAAAAAAATTTAATTTGTTTATGAAAAATCGCTGTTTATTAAAAACAAATTAAAAATTTTTTTTTTTCGTTAACATATTTTGAAAGTCGATAAAAAACTGAAACATTTTTTGTATCTTAATCATAATTCCTAAATTCAATACTTTTAGAGTTACATGTCATTAAAATTAGGTGTATTTCAAAAAAACTTGAAAAATCAGATTTTGAAAAATTCATAACTCGAAAATTTGAGCACTTATAAAAAAATACGTAAACCTTTTATTTCTGCAAAGAATAAGAAAAAATATATTTAGACGAACTTAAAAGGTCATAGGTAAATCTCACGTGGAATCGACCATATATAATGTTTGCTGTGTATATAGCTATGTACCTATAGGTCGACCCCAAATAACCCCTAGATACAAAGTTTTACAAAAATTCAACAATTTTCTTTAAATTCGACCACCATATTGGATTCGCCATTTTGGATTTTGAAAATCTGACTTCAAATTGATAAATCAACGACCCTAAAAATCCCTATATATACCAAGATTAAAGAAAATCCGTCAATATTTACATTTATATAAAATTCAAATTAATCAATTAAATTTGATTACCGACCGAGTTCAATGTAATATTATCCAAAGTACTCGTTAGATATAACTATCATAGGAGGTACTACATTTTTTATGTTAGATTTTAAGGCCATATTCAGATTAGTGTGTTCATTTCAAACATTTATAGAGATGAATTTGACAAAAAATTTATCTTTTAAATATCAATTGTTTTCTATAGATAAGAATGCGAAGATCTCCTGAGCCAAAGAAAAGAGGAAAGATTACAATCGAAGCACAAAAAGAGGGCAAAAAGTCATCATATAATGTGGATTTAGGACACGAAATTTATACAAATAAACATGGTAGCATTAGCGTTAATGCAGGTGTGAACAAAGACCCATACAGAAAGCCACAAAGTCACGTTGGAATCCAAGGAAGTTTTAGATTTTAATTTAATAAAAATGAAAAATAAAGTATCAAACAAACTCAAACATGAATATATTTTGTAATATTACCAATTTTTAAAGATTTGATAATAAAATGAAAAAATAAAATTATTTTTTTGAAGAAACATTATTTGTTCAAGTGTCTTCTGATTCGAATACTATTTATTTAAAGTTACCACTTTCAATAAATAACTTCTTAAACTTAAATTTTTCAAAAACTCATAAGATATTTTAAAATATACATCAAACAGAAATTTAGGTCTAATTCACGACTTTTGAATAAGTCAAAAAAGAAGTTTTCAAACACCACCTCCCTTTAAAATTAAAAAGAAGTTTTTCTTAAAACTTCTTATCCGTGAGAATTAGGGACTAATTTAGAGCTCTTAAATATTTTTGTTTAAAAAAAATAATATATATATATATATATATATAAATAATAACATGAACGATTCACTTTAGTTTCAAATGATTCAAGTTTTAGCTTCAATTAAGCTTCTATAGTAATTTTAATTAACGATAGTTTCAAACAACTAAACAGCTAACAACTAACAGTTAATATAATAGTATATTATAGAATGATACTTACAAATTATATAGTTATTTCAAACAATTGCCGTTTGGGTTATAATGTTTGTTACATTTAATGGAAATGGCAAATAATATAATATCGTGTACTTAAATAACAAACGAAATTTAAATCTACAAAAAAATTTTAAGCAAAAAAAGTGGTGTTTTTGAGTAATTTCAGCTAAATTTTTTTTTTTTTATTAAAATGGCCGCTATTTTGTTATTTTTGAACATTTTTGAAATTTTTTAACGGATTTTGAAAGAAAAGTGAAAGCTCTTTCAAATGCAATAATAAAAAATGAGACATCTAAATTACTTTAAAAGTTATAACACTTTAAAGTTTTTTCCCCCCTAAATTTTAGATAAACGACGTTTCAACCTGCCTGATTTGAAACGAATTTGATTTTATAAATTATGTTATAAAAGGGGAGTTATCACCTTTAGTTTAAGTACTTTAAATTTTAATGATGAGTAAGAAGTTATATTTTTTTTCTTACATAATTTGTGTTCTAAAAACATACAGGATGGTCAAAAAATCAAAATTTTAATTAATCAAAATTAAAATTTTGATTTTTTTGACCATCCTGTATATGTTTTTAGAACCCAAATGATAAAAGCAAAAAAAATATAACTTACTCTGCGATCATTAAATTTTAAAGGACACAAAATACAGGATGGTATAACTTCCCTTAAAATTATGTTTTTTTATACATATGATTGCGAACCTGAAGAGGAAACCAACTTTAATAACGTGTGATATAATAAAATATCCTGAGAAAATTATTTTAAAATTATTACTACTGAATCCAAAAAAAATTACAAGCCTTCTTTTAATCTCCACAGTTATTATGTTTGTAATTACAAAAAAAATACCATTTATCAAAAAGGAAAGTAAAATAGTACAGTGCGATTTTACGAAATCATGTTGGTTGTGTGGTGGTATATAAAAGAAAAAGGGGGACATGTTGCAAAAAGCGAACACGACACGTTGCCTCACATGGAAAGAGTTCTATGGCCCCCGTATATTGTTTTTAGACATTAATGTGGCCGGACAGCCTGTCAAGAGAGAAATCCGCCACTAAAAATGTGAAACGTGCGTCCAAAACGACGGATCTTCTAACGAGGATGTACGTTCTCAGTAATTTTAATTTTCACCACCGTGGTCACGTTTCTGCTTTCTGCTCCATCACCCTCTCTTTTTATCATTATCCTAATTTCATATATGAATTTATACATTAGAATTTTTATTTTTATCAAAAGCATACACCTAGTTGTCTTATCCCAAAAAACCTATATTTATAAAATAAAAAAACTATATCTATAGTGAAATTTGTAACAAATTTCTCAGTTCCAAAATAAATAGTTGTTACACTGAAAAAAATGTTGCCGAGAAATTCAACTACCGTTGGGTAGTTGTCTAGAAAGTAGTTAATATAACTATACTTTTTTAGTTAATCTAATCATGTTGATGTAGTTAATGTAACTATTTTTAAGAAATTAATAAGTAATAGTTGATTTTACGTAAATATATAGTTAAAGTACAACTACAGGTCGGTAGTAAAATTAACTTTCTTGAGGTAGTAAAAACAAGTGGAATTGTAGTCAACTGAAAATTTGAAGAGTAGTAAATCCAACTACAGCTATTCACCAGTTATATGAAATGTACACTGAGAAAAATAATATCGTAATAATAAGAAAATAATTTAGTTAAGCATTTTTAGTTGGCCTTACTAAAGTATGGTTGGCACAACAGAAAAAAAAGTGGCAATCAATCGAAAAATTTAGTTTGCTCTACCAAAAAATATTTTTGAAGGTTTCATGTCTACGAACTAAACAGTTTGGTTCTCCGTACTAAATCGCTGGCACGCAGAATTGCGCACGCGCTGTTCTCGAAAATGTGGCGTCGGTCGTAGGGCCTAGTCAGTCGTGGACCTCTTCCGCGTTATGCTTATCCGATCATTTATGTCATGTGTTTTTATTGTTCGGCTGGTCTATTATCGTAGCAGTGTCATTAAAGTTTTATAAATATTTATTTTTTAAAAGTGTACTGAAAGTGTTTCTTTTATTTCGAAAGAATGGCTGACGAAGTGACAAAACGTTTGCTAAGAGAATGGGGGTTAGAATGCCTCGTGGCATTCTGTATCAACTTTTGAAAACTTGCTCCTCAATTTTATGCGATATCATTTTGAGATATTTCATGAAACGCGCGTAGTGTGTACTTACGGGAAGATAAATTATTTTTGTAATGTCTAAGCATAATGAATTTAATAAAGTTATATTATTAATCTCATCTCTCTTGAATTAAAATACCTTATTTTTTATACAAAATCGTAAAAATGACCAAATAAACTATTTTATATAAAATAAATTATTTAGTTATATTTCTACAAAAAAATTTTTTTTAATCAACGAAAACAGTAAGTTGAAATAACTAAATTTTATTTACGTCAACAGAACATTTTTTTTCATTCTAATAAATGTATTTATTACGTAGACTAAATTATTTGGTTACACCTACTAAATAATTCAATTGAGCGAAATTTAACGGTTGGACAAAAAAATTTAGTACTCCCAACCAAACGGGTTAGTTGCACATATATCAAATAAAAAATTTGGTAGGGACAACCAAACTTTGATACATGATACCAAACAGTTTTCTTAGTGTAGTAAAAGGAATTATTTTCTTTAATTAATATAACTGCTTTTTGAGTAGTAAATTTTTTATTAATTTCTATGATTTTATAGGCTTCAATAAAAATCTTGTTGTAGAATTAACAAGTCGTCTGTAATTAAAACTACTACTTTAAGTAGTAGATTTTTACTATTTTAATTAATTCGATAAACTTAAAGAAGATTTTTGATGTTGAATTTACAAATCGTTTCCAGTTAAAACTACTACTTTAAGTAGTAGATTTTACTACTCAAACTGGTACAATAGGCTTTAAGAACATTTTTGTTGTATAATTAACAAATCCTTTATGATTAAACCAACTACTTTAAGTAGTAATTTTTTACTATTTTAATTAATTCAATAAGCTTGAAAAACGTTTCTGATGTAAAATTTACCAATCGTTTCTAATTAAAACTACTATTTTAAGTAGTAGCTTTTACTACTTAAAGTGGTTCAATAGGCTTTAAGAACATTTATGTCGTAGAATTAAAAAATCCTTCACAATTAAAACTACCACTTTAAGTAGTAGATTTTAATGCACTATGCAATTAAACAACTTATAATATAATTAAAAGATAAAAAATTTACAAGTCAAAACTTAAAAAGGATAGTTATAGCAACTAATAAAAGTAGTAAAAATGACTACTTTAAATAGTTAAATTACCAATTGGACAAGCAGAAAGTAGTCTTCGAGTAGTTTGCAGACTGTCGTAGCGAGCGTGCGTGGTTAGTCGGTTAAGGTATCGGATAGCGAGCGTTAGGGTCGAGGGTTCAATTCCCGTCGGTTAGAAATTTTCTCTGTTAAGTACATAATCGTTAGGGCATAAAATAAGCGTCAGTATAGGAGAGAGGATGAAAAAATCAATTCTACTAATTATAAATAAAAAATAATTTTATTTTCCTATCTTATGTAGTAAAATCTACTACTTAAAGTAGTAGTTTTAATTGCAAAAGATTTATTAATTCTACAAAAAAATGTTCTTAAAACCTATTGAACCACTTTAAAAGTAGTAAAATCTACTACTTACATCTTGAGTTGTTTTAACATTTTTAAATTGAGTTAATACAATCACAAAATGTCATTCTACCAATTACATTTTTAATTGATTTAACTATTTTTATATAGTTAATACAACCGTTTAAATTCAGTTGAGAACCTATATTGTACTACTCAGAGTAGTTAAAATGTAGTAAAACCTACTAAATTTTTTTTCAGTGTAACACAAAAGAAATAATTTTTTTAAAATATTTTCTAGAGAATCGAGTGTTTTAATTAAACTATTGTAAATTTATTTATTTTTCTAAAATTAATTTAACCAAAATTTGTTTTCCAAGAATGAATTTTATTTCCAACAGTGAAAATAAAATAGGCAATATATATATATACGCATAGTGCCTAAGGGCAGTTTTTATGATTTTCAACCCATCGAGTCGTTTCTCATTTCGAAGCTGTCAATAGCACTGTCAAGAATGACGAGCACCTGAGCGCCTCAGGGTAAAAGTGTGGAACAAGCAATTTGTAAGATATAACATAAAACAATGACGTAGAGGCATGTAAAAATCGTTAAAAAAAAAAGAAGGAAATATTCAATAGTTCCTTTCATCATCCCTCCAATTCGAAAAACTTGTACCATTGTGAGGGGTTTTTTTCTTCTTAAATGTAAAATGAATTTTCTTAAAGCGTTTCAAAAAAAACCCCCCATCGTTAATATTATACAAGATTATGCAATCACATAAATATCAGACTACATTATATGCCACTGCATTTAGAGAAATTACACTGCGCATAATTATTCAGAACACCCTCGTTGTTGTCATGAGGTTGATGGATATTGATGATGCATAAGACCCAAGCGGAAATCCCACGAGCTCACCTCAATCTGAATTCGTCATCCGGAAAATTGACGATGTGTAACAACACTTTTTTCTAAAACCCCTCCAACTCCATAATTTTCATGAAAACCATTTCGTATAAACAATGAAACTAAAGAATATTGGAATTTTAAAAAATAATTTTCTATTTCGTAAATGATTGATGCAAAATGCTTCTAATAATCAAAGAGATTCTTCGAAATTAAAAATAATTAGTTTCTTCATATGTTTTTTATAATTACAAATATGGAAAGACTCAATAAGAAATAATAGACCCAAAAAAAACCCAAACCACTCATCACGGAAATTATTAAACAGAAGAAATGAATATGAAGTCAGAATTCCTCCATCACTCTCTAATTTTTTTAAATCGAAAAAAACCATCCTTAATCGGACAAATTCAAACTTACGAGATAAAAAAATTAAATAAAATATTTAAAAAAAAAAAAAAAACACACTGAAAAATAATAGTATTGAATCAAGAAAACCTATGTACTTGACAGTATTTTATACCAATATTTTCTTGATCCAAGAAAATTTACTTCAAACTAATAAAAATTTCTTGGATCAAGAAAATATTGGTATAAAATACAGTCAAGTAAAATTTACTTCAAACTAATAAAAATTTCTTGGATCAAGAAAATATTGGTATAAAACACAGTCAAGTACATAGGTTTTTCTTGATTCAATACTATTTTTTTTCAGTGTAGAACCTTACACCTACCTATTTTTTCTCCACTAACTAAATAACAAACTCAGAACTTATCCAGCAGCCTCTGAATTATTTTAAAATCGTAAAAACCACCCTTTTAACCCCTTGACAATCGATGGCCCATATATGTCCAAAAAAAGTTGTGCCACATTTGTGATTTTGGACATATATATCCACATTAGAAAAAAATTATTAAACATAATTCGATTTGAGTGTCAATGGATATACTTAGGTTTTCGGGGTCGCTAAATCCAAATTTGAGGTCAAATTTAAAAAATTCAAAATGGCGGACCCAATATGGCGGAAAAATTTAAAATTGATTCGATGCGTTCAAAATTCGGTACTCGGGGGTTTTTGGGGTCGCTGAATCCAAATTTAAGGTCGGATTTGAATTCAGCGACCCAAAAAACCCCCAAGTACCGAATTTTGAACGAATCGAATCAATTTAAAATTTTTTTCGCTGTATTGAGTAGCGATATTGGGTCCGCCATTTTGAATTTTTAAAATCTGACATCAAATTTGGATTCAGCGACCCCAAAAACCCCCGAGTACTAAACTTTGAACGATTCGAATCAACTGATATTTTTTTGAAAACTTTTTTTTGACCGTTTTTGGCCCACAAACGATTTTTCTACTAGACTGCGAAGGGTTTAATTGGACAGAATCAAACCTATGAGAAAGCAATTTTAATAAAAGGTCATTTATTAGAATGAACTCATTTTTAGGATAGTTTTACTCTTCAAATAAAAATAGAATTGTTTTGTCATGTTTAATTTTGAAAACTACCCTTAAATGTGACAAATTAAACGTTCAAGGAAAAAATGAATATAAAAATGAAATAAAAAAAAAAAAAATATATATATATATATATATATAGAAATAAAATAAATAGAAATAAAAAAATATATAAATATATAAAATATTAAAATGAATATATATTTATAATATATATATGAATATGAATATTTTTTTTTATATAAAATGAATATATAAAGTCGAATATCTTATAAAATTTATCGTTATCTTCATGTCTTTCTAGTTCTCAATTTTTGTGGAGATCTTTATTAATTTTTTTATTTCAATTCTCGGTGGGATGTTCTTAGGGTAATAGGTAATTATTTGAAATATTATTTTGGAATTCTATAAGATTCATAAACTTTGCTATAAATTGGTACGTATTAATATTTTGTTAATAAGTATTTCAGATGTTCCAATTAATATATAATTAAATATTCGATTATTGGCAATCTTTTTGGAACTCAGTAAAAGACAAAAACATATCTTTGACGTTTCGAGATCGGTACCGACCTCCTCATCAGAATTTATTAGTCAATTGATTCTGATCATATAAATATAAATATATAAATATTAATCCTTTATTTTGTTATATCACAAAAATTTAAATGGCAGGCGTTTTCTAAGTTACGATGTTGGACGCTAGGCGAGATAAAATAAATTTATATATTTAAAAAAAAATGCAAAGTTTTTGTGTTTATTTCAAAAAATTCGAAACTTTTATTATTATAATGCTTCCTCAATGTAGAAGTAATAAAATTATATTATAGATAACGTTATCACTATGAATAATTATTTAATTTAATTTTTAACATTGAAAATTAAAACAGTTTGTAACAATAGCGATATGTTAAATTTAAAGTTTTAAATAGATAATATTAAAGGTTACGTAGTAAAATATCAAAATGTTTACAATTGATTTGACGTCAATATAAATATTTTACTCAAGAATAAATTTGACTTATCAAATAAAAAATATACCAAATAGCCTATCATACACCTAAGAATTTAAAGAAATTCAAATTCCACAAATAGTAATACACAATTGTGTCAATAAGACAGTTTTTTTAAATTCAAATCCAATGATTACGATTAAACAATAATTTTTTAAAATGTAATATAATTTCATGTCAAAGGAGATATCAATTTGATATAAATATGAGGCAAAACAAAATACCTAATACATATCAGAAAGATAAAGTCTTTCAATCTTAAAAGGGGATCTTTTTAATATCACTAAAACTAACTTAAAACTAATAGTATTATTTTATTGTATACGAATTATCTACATTCAATATTTTATAATTGGCATTACAAGAATAAAAGAAGGTTCGTCAAAATTCAAAATTTTATATAGAGGAGAGTGAACAACAATTGGATCATTTCAATTTTCTGCAAAATGATTTTGAAAATTCATTTTCCAGAAAACTGAAATAATCCACAGTAAATCACTGATTTACTGTTGTCCACTCTTTTCAAATTAATCTCCTCTCAGTAGTAACAGAAACCGATTCTTCAACTCAAACTTTAAAGTATTTAAAACAAATTCCAAACTTATTCAAAAATCACTGATTTTTACTATTATTAAAGCAATGCAGATTGAACTAATTCTTAAAAACAATAATTTCAAAATTTTTAAAAATTCTTTTAACATCTTTTCAGAATACAAAAGAAAATCCATTGTGAAAAATGGAGATAGCCAACTCAGCAAACCCATTGGGAACACTTCAGATGGTCTCCATCTTGAGTTGCGTGAGATCATTGACTGATGTTCTCTACGCTGAAAATTTTCTCAACACTGGTGATCAATATAAACCAACACAAATAGTAAATGGCTTGTTTCACTATATTTTGGACAAAAATAATTTTGACATCAACCAAAGAAAACAACATTTATTTGAAAGAATTGGAAATAATTGTAATCTAACTGAAACCAAAGATCTCAATATCATTAACAAAAAGCTAAAACAAATTGTTGAATATCTCATCTTTAATGAATACAAAAGCATTGATGAATTTATGAAAAATATATTGGCATTAAATTCTTCCAGTGAATTATCACAGCTTTTTAAAGAAACGCTACAAGATGAATTATTTTTGCAAAATACAGAAGTAAAATCAAAAACCGAAGGAAAAATTCGTTCAAAACGTTCGCCATTGAGACGAATATTAATACCTGTAGCAAAAAAATTACCAGATGCTGCCAATATATTTTTAAAGAATGCAAAACTCTTAGGTAAGCCTGTTCGACAAGAATTAGTAACAAAATTTGATTTCGAAGAAGTAGAACGAAATAAATTACAAGACATAACCAGTAAATTTCAAAGTAAACCAATCGATGTAAATAATCCCATCAAAATCATAGACGCCGATATTTTTAATCAAATGAAATATTTAGAAGTAATAGACAAATCAGATTTATCAATCAATGAAGCAGTAAAAAGAATTGATTTTCTATATCCAATCAAAGAAAATCAGGATATTCGAAAAGAATTAAATGTTGAGGATGTATTGAATGATTTTAAAAAGAAAAAAGCTTACAAGGACATGAAATTAGAAGATTACTATGCTATAAGATGGTATGGCGTTCAAGGTCACAGGAAAATGGGTGGAAATTCAGATCAGGCACGACGAATGGAAAATGCAATATTAAGATTGTCCATTAGACAATTTTTTACACCTGAAGAAGAATATTCTCAAAATTTATATAGAGGTGAATTAAGAAATACAAAAGACGTTGAAAAAGAACTTTCTGCAAATGAATTTCAATTCACTAGATTTACATCGGCATCGACTGATAAAAATATGGCTATCTCATATTCTGGAGGTAAAAAATCCGAACCTGGAAAAACAAGTGTATTGTATGAAATGAATTTCAATGAACCAATAATAAGAGCAAGGGTACATCATTTAATGGTTAAGGATGAAAGTGAAACAATTTTAATTCCTGGTACTAAATTTCATATTGAAAGTAAAAAGGAAATTAAAAGTTGTAAGGCAAAAGAATTGGACGCTGATGTTAGATGTTTAATTGTTAAAATTTCAGCGTTGGATAATAAAAATACAGTAGCTGAACGTAGACAAAAAATTTTGGATGAAGTTAAAGCATTAGCACAAAGTGGAACAAAATTTTATTATGATCCACCAAAATAGAAGTAATTTTTTTTCTTTATATGGATAACAAAAAAAAGTATCCACATTAGTGATTTATAATTTTTGTTCGTAAATTATAACTTTCTGAATGTACTAAATAAATACGTATTGTGTGAAATTATTTGTTATATTTATTAATTTCTCTCGGTTAAGTAAATTAATTTATATTACAACTTGGACCTTAGAAAATTACTTATGGTTCCAAAGTTCTCTTCAAGAATTTTTGGATCTATTTCAAAATTATTAACGGATTTATTGATATCCTGCATAATTTTTATTATTCCTTTGAATCATTTTCCTTTTTGCAAAATTCTAAACCCGTACATTGTAATTAATAAATAAATGACTCCTGACTAAACTAACAGTGGTTTACAGTCTCAATAGTCATAAAGTGAATAGTATTCATTATGAAACAGATATATATGTGAGTTCTCATTTAATTTATTTACTAAACGCGAGTAATCAAAATGACAATAACTCTTCTATTTATTATTTGAAATTCTATGCGATGAGATATGTTAGAATTAAATATGATAAATGTTCAATGAAATGAATATCAGCTCATCAAGGATTCGTATTTAGCTTTTAAATAATAGTATGACATTAGTCACCCCTAAAATTTCCCGCGACAATTGTGGATCTCTACACTGGAAGGCATCTAAAGTACGATACAGGGATTAATGAACACAAAAGAGAGAAGAGGCAGAAGGAAATTTTATTGGTATATTTGTCGAAATGATAAATGCATGAGAATTGTGCAAACTTTAGGGATAGGCATTTAGTCACCCCAGGTCGTCTTTTAGCGATGGTTTCATATTTACTCTACAATAGTCGATATTTATATGTGTATGCGTGTGAAAAGTATAAAGCACACATAAATCTGAATTATCTTATTTATACGGAATACACGGATACTTTGACAAAATAAAAATATTGAAAAGCACGTCAATGTGAATCATGAAATGACATTTTTAACTGTCTTCTCTATACCACATACAGCATATAAATACACACTAATTGTCACATATCAAACAAAGGACTACAGTTCAAATGCTATAAATATAAATTACCTCTGCAACTTCGAATCGTAATTTTTTGCTTACATTCTTTATTCTGGGGTCGAAATAAAGTACCCAATTTTGGTACAAAGAATTTCAACCGGAACCCTAAAATTTTTGAAATAAGAACGTCATTTTGCTGCAAAAAAACAATTTGCAAACATGAAGAAAAATAAGATTGTTGTGCAAAGAATTTTTGAATTGTTGTCAGTAGATTTGTTGCTATTTCAATTCGAAATGTTAATATTACAATTTGGAATTTTGTCAATACAAATGTATGTTGTTTTAACAACAATACGAAGTTTTTGTTGTCAGTTTTGTTCAGTTTGCAATTCCGTACAGTTGCAGAAGCAAACTCTCTGTCGATTGCTGATGGAACAATCTGGATTTGTTCAACTGACAGGTTTATTGTTCCATGTCACGTGGTCATCTTGACTTCTCGCAAAATGGCCTGCAGATCGTCGCATCGTTTGCTTCTGGCACATGTACCACTTTTGCTTTTATTATTAGTTTTTTTTAAATGACAAAGTGCTGTTAGACAATGAATCCGGTTAAAGTGAGAAATCTATTGCAAGTGTAGTGAAAGGATGAAGAGACAATTTCATCGTTTATCGGTAAGTTATACTCGGTTACTATTGAACATAACCTCACCTTAAGAAATACAAAATATATATTAAATATTATACAAATTTCAACTCAAAATAGTTTTTTGGTTTCAGGTCAAAGAATTTGATTCAGAAGCTGCATGTTCCACAGATTTTTATCCAAATGAAACTAGTGATATGACCTACGGAAATCTGCTATCGATTATTTTAAAAGGCAAAGAAACTGCACAAATTGTATTAGACGGATCAAAGCTTTTTTAATACAACAAATTGTATTGCCGATTTAACAATTTAGTTTTGTTATTTCAACTGATCCATAACAATTTTCTTTGTTCATCAAACAATTCTGTTTGTTCACCGTACAATCCGAATAGTTTTAATAACAATTCCATTTTAACAATTTTTTTTGTCCCAAAAACAAATGGTTCTATATTGACAATCCAGAATTGTGTATACTTAATTTATAGTAACCACAACAATTCTTTTTTCTCCATGAAACATCATTAAATTTTTGGTTTCCATTTAAATTTCGTTGTACCACTTAGCAATTGTAATTTGAAGTTACAGAGTTTGTATTGTTGTATCATTACAATAATAAATAAACACTAAATAATATCATCAAAACACTTTTACTTTAATTTATATACGACATATAAATTTGACTAAATCGTTATTAGTACACTATATCTAAATGTCCATTTAACCAAAATGACTTTATGGCATTTCAATAGTGACCTATCATCAATGTTCTGTATATGGATTTCATCTATTCGGATGTAATAGAGTGTGTGCGACTAGCAGCTGCCCTCCACCCATTTATTCTCCGTCACGTCTAACAATTACGTATAAATTACATTTCTGACAGATCGACTTATCATCGGACCTATTATTCATCCTTTCAAGTCCCCGTGCCCTATAGTATAAGCTCATTCTTTCCCTTCGCATTGAGAATCTCGACTATATATATATATATATATATATATATATATATATATATATATATATATATACGGGAGAGGCACAAAGTTCAGAACTAATAATGTTTCTGTCCATCTATCCAAATCTCAATAATATATTTGTTTGCTCATTAGATATATTTCATCATCAGGTTATAAATATCATTTTATCTATATAAACGTCTAAACTAATCCAAAATTTATAGTTTCCAAATGAGATATTTTATATATATGCTGGTTATAGCAAATATTCAATTAAATAGAAAATAAAAATAGAATTCTGGAAAATTGTTTTCATTTAGTAGAGTTTAACAATACATATAATAATGTAAAACATAGAGGGGTGCATTATTATTTCATAAAAATCATTTAATTAAAATTTTTATTTTAAAGCATTTTATTAGAAATAATTATTTTTTTAGATGAATTTTAATTTGTCCGAAGTTTTTAATTGATAGAATTTTTAACACGCCAAATTTTAATTTGTCTGAAATTACAAAAATGTCCGAACAAACAATTAAGAGAAAGATTTCGGCGCAATTTTCAAAAATTAACCAATCACGATTTTCTTGATAATTTCTTATTCGTCAATTTTAAATATTGCTCCGAAATCTTTCTGTCGATTGTTTGTTCGGTCATTTGTAATTTCGGACAAATTAAAATTCGGCGTCTTACAAATTCTATCAATTAAAAATTTGGACAAATAAAAATTCAGTAGCTTAAAAATTTTCTAATGTAAAAATTCGTATAAAAAGAAATTCTATCAAGTTTTAATTTGAAAATTGAAAATAATTTATCTAAAAAATAATTATTTCTAATAAAATTCTTTAAATTGAAAATTCTAATTAATGATTTTTATGGAAAATTCAAGCACTCCAAATAAATCACTTATATTTTCATATTCTAAGACCTATACTAATTCATCCAAAACGAGCTCTCCCAAAGAATATTTGAACAAAACAAAGTACAAAACCATGTCAATTTTATTACATATATATATATATTATACAAAAGTCGTAAAGGTTGACCACGCCGGAAAAAGTTCAGTAACATATATAAACATATATATATATATATATATATATATATATATATATATAGTCATATATTTTGTATACGTATACAGTGAGCAGTTTTACAACCTGTTTTGTAATCATATCTGACTCTCTATAAATTATCTATGCAGTAAAAGTACAATATTGTCAGGTTAATGCTTCACAACGCCAGGAAACAAGAAATTTCACTTTATGTCATGGTCGCGTAGGACAAAATATACACATTTTATAACATGTAAAATGAAAAAACAAGCCATAACAAAACAGATAAAATTTCCTTTAAATTACATTTACATGTATGTAATTGGAAAGAAAAAAAATATTTATATATCAAACAATAAAAATATTGCGTAGATAAAATATTTATTGTGTTAATTCAAATCCTATTGGAACAATATATTTTTGAATAAAATAGTTTCTTTTTTTTTTTGAGTATAGACTTTTTTCCTCGATTTCATCATGAGACCCTTGCATTTATCGAAAGATCCCCAAGAGACTGTGTGAGATCATAAAAAACGAAATCACGAAAAATCTTTACGATCAAAACTTCATTTACAACAAAATAAAAAAAAAAAAAAAACAGAAAATAAGAAAAAATTTTGCGTACCAAAAATTGACTTAGGACGACATTGAAAATCCAATATGTGTCAAAAATAATATTATTATGATATTACTATTTAGGGTATAAAATAAATTTCAAATAAAAGATTTGGGTTCAAAGGACCCCGCACTTTTTACATTGAAAATGGCTTTCGGCCAAATCTTTTGAAACTCTGTGCTCAGAATTTCGGAATTCAAAATGGCGGATTCAATATGGCGGACACTCTTTCGAAAAATCACTTGAATTCACCTCAAAATCATTACTCGGGGGTTTTTGGGGTCGCTGAGTACGAATCTGTGCTCAGAATTTCAGAATTCAAAATGGCGGACGCGCTTTCAAAAAATCACTCGAATTTATTTTGAGGTGAATTCAAGTGATTTTTCGAAAGCGTATCCGCCATATTGGATGCGCCATTTTGAATTCCGAAATTCTGAGCACAGATTCGTACTCAGCGACCCCGAAAACTCCCGATTAACAGATTTTGAGCGATTTTTGATTTATTTGTGAAAAAGAAAACATTCATAAATACATTATTTTTACGTTATTATTTTTTAACTTTAAAGTACTGTAGATAAAAAACTACTGATAGGATTGAATTTTGGCATAAGGATTTTTTGTTCAGGAAGCCTTAAACTACAAAACTACAGAGTTTCAAAAGATTTGGTTGAAAGACATTTTCAATGTAAAAAGTGCGGGGTCCTAAACTTTACAAAGACTATATGTATATATATATATATATGGAACGACTTAGAAAATTGCTTCGCTACTTTTACAATATCTTTACAGAAGGAACGCATAATTTCCTCGTGTTGAGGCAATGACTAACATTAAAGCCCACCTCATAAAGAGGATACAATGAGACGAGCGGCAATATACGAGGCGTTTAAAGAGATATAGAACAAAGTCACTGTTTGCTCCTCTATCCATATAAGAGCAAAGTCACATCTTGTGTCATCGTGCTCTCTCTCTCTCTCTCTCTCTCTCTGTCTCTCATATAGCTTGCCAGCTACCAAATGAAATCATAATTCTCTCTTAGGGTGGCGTTATTTAGCTGGCACGCACGTAATTACAGCTAGGAATGAAAAACCCGCCGCGATTTATGGGTCACTGCATAAAACTTGCTTGCACATCGCAAAGCCACCATGAGCTTTTTGTTATTTATTATTCTTTCGCCAAAGATCTATAGTGGCAACTTATATATGCGTTACATTGCGGTTAGAGAATGAACAAAAATTCTATTATATATATACGCGCTATATATTTATAATTTTTGAATATAGAAAAAATGTTTTTCATTTTCAAAAAATGGCCACTTTATTTTTTTTTATGAAACTTTTTTTTATTATTATTCCCCTTGCAATCGAAAGATTTAGTTTTAAATATACAGGGTGATTAAAAAAAAAAATTAAAAAAAACCGTTACCATATCAACCATTACCATATGGTAGTAAACGTTACCTTAGCGCAGGCCACGTGCAGAAAATTTATTAATAAAAAAAGTAAACAATTGCTTATAATAATTATTATTTATAAAAAAAATATATCGCTAACCTTAAGCTGCGTATATCGGATGCATTATATGTTTCAGATGATAAAATTTGACGAAAACACACACGCGATTTAAAAAAGTTCGAACACTCCCGAAACTGCACGTTTAAAACAGAAAATAAAATACTTTTTCAAAACATTTTAACGAGCACGATTTAAAAAATTTCGAACACTCCCGGAATTAAAAAAATTAACTAAAACCTCAAAAAAGTTCGCGTATATGAAAATTCAAGCACTCCCGAAGATATTTACCTGAAATGTGAAAATATAAATTAATACACGATAAAGAATATATAGGTATATATAAATATTTAACACAAATTTCGCTTCTAAAATTATAGTAAACAGGTCAATACAAGAATTCCAACTGATTGAATTATGTTTCGGATTTTTAATTCACATTGTATGCAAGCATAAAGGTACACTGAAGAAAGGATTTGGTATTGACAACCAAACGTTTGGTTGGTATTTAAGCAACCAAATTTTTTTTTATTAAATCAACAAAATTTTGGTTGTGCCAATAAAACTTTAGTTAGGACAACAAAAATCCTTTTTTTCTAATTTTGATTGTGTCAAACAAATTTTAATTGAGACAATTAAAATTTTGTTGATTCAACAAAATAAAAATGGTTGCTTAAATACCAACCAAACGTTTAGTTGTGAATACCAAACCCTTTTTTCAGTGTAATAATAAAATTCTAAAATTGCCTCGACACAATTTAAATACTCTGAAATTATAATTATCAAATTTAAATATGTATTTATAAATTACATGACATTTTTAACTGGTGAGAAAAAAATACATTTTTAATTTATACCAAAATTGATAAGAAAAAATATCAAATGTAAATTAAAAATAAAAATGTGAACCATAACTGTCATCATCTTTGCACATGTTAGAAAAATAATAATTGATGAAGTCGTTTGAATTTGACTTTCACACATATATACATGTATATATATATAGAATATGAATATGTGTACAACAACAATATACTGACAAGATTCAAAGTGACATTTACAAGTTATAGATCACATGTATTTTCAACTTCTGTTCTATCTACTTCCGACATAGACGTTAATGCACTCGGACAAGGTGATCACGCGTGGGTTCATTCAAATGATTTAACGTCACATGACAGCGTGGGCTCTTCAGAAGTAATGTCAATTGACTAGAGCATCGAATTTGTTACATGCCTATAAGTAAATGATATAATTAAACATTGTCGTGACAAAAAAAAACTATCACCATTAATTATATGTAAAAAGACTTAATGGAATTTTACCACTTTGAAAGTGGGAAAGATTATTACCCACTATCAGAACGGCACTTTTACTGTCGATGGGAATAAAATTTTTAGGTTATGTAATTTTCCAGACGAGATGGGAAAATTGCCAAGAACTGTACAGTTACACTTTCTGGTATTTTAAACGCAGGAGAAAGTAAATATACAGACATCAATAAAATGTTACCGACTGAAATAAAATTGCTTTGAAAAAAGAGTACTTTTCCGAAATTTTATAAAATATTAAATTTTTATGTTTAGAAAAAAATATAGGAATAATTTATACTTTTTATGCGATTATACGATGAAGGTATTTACTTTTAAGTTATTAATATTCGCTAAAGAATTTTATAAAATAAAGAAAAAATAATTATAAACACAATTAGACTCTATATTTTATTCCTATATTTTTGCACAAGAAACATTAACATTTTTGTTTTTCATATTCAAGTTTAATTTAAATTATGAACAAAAACTTTTATGAATTGTCCTATGTAAGGATAAAATAACTCGTGTCGTAAAATTTTACCATTTTTACGTCATTTTTACAATCAAAAAGACAATTATCGATGAATGCCGACTGCTGCCGGGCATTAACGATTGCACACGGCGCATAAATCGTAAATGTATGCGTATATTATGAATTTCAATATTTGGGAATTTTCCAAAAATTGTTAATATTACTTTAAAAAAATTGTAATTTTACACGCTAATGTATTTTTCTAAAGAAACGGGAATATTACCAACACTTGTGATTATACTACATTAAAAACAGGAAAAATACTACAGTGTGGAATGGTCATTTTTGCTTTAGTAAGGTTACGTTCGCCAATGGTAATTTTCCCATCTAGTGCAGTTTCACAGCCTTCAGTCATTTCGTCCTTTTGAAAGTGGGTAACATTATTACCCACTTTAAAAGGAGGAATTTCGCCGAGGAATGAAAAATCTCAATATTCGAAATAGTAAAATTACCAAATATTGTATTTTCCATTTTGGACCCTGTATTATTTCTGCATTTAATGTAGTATTTGTGCCAGGGATTCTTAAAAGTAAAATTCCTATCTTTAGGAAAATTCTGTTTGGACTTTTTGCATAATTATAATTATGCACTCTAAAAAGAGGGTACTAAAATAGTACCAATTTTAGGTATTAAAATAGAACCAAAAGGCAATTTAGTATCTAAAGTTGGTAATTCGTTGTACAGTGTGATATTGTCATAAAAATTTGAAGCATCTTAAACTTTTTTTAAATATTCAGAAAAGGTTGAAAAGTTAAGGGTAAAGACAACCGGAGTCGAAATTTAGACTCTCTATAAGTTCTCTAAAAACCTCCTTTTATCCTCCTTTTATTCTCTCCAACACTTTCATACCCTCTCTTCGACCTCGAATTTGCAAAAATAGAAATATCTGCTATATTTGAGGCTGAAAGGAGGGTTTAAAGATCACTAGAGAGGCGTAAAAGAGGTTAAAAAACCAAAAAAAATAAAATTAAAAAAATGTAAAAATTCGATTTTTTTTCTTATGGACATTATTTATTAACCCTATTGAAGATATATTTATTGGTTTTTCTCGTAATACTATAAAACTTTTAGGAGGAATAAAACTTCGAAAAATTCAAATTAAGAGCATTTGAACCTTCGTGACGTCACAAATCATGGCGCATGACACGCAAACTTCTCAGGTATATGAAAAGCACAATTTTGAATATTTTTTAAAATAAACCTTTTGGAAAATGTTCAGAATAACATAGACTCTGTCTGTTAAGTGCGGAAAATTCAAAATTTTGCGTTAAAAAAGGTTTTTTAAACAATGTTTAAGTTGGTTGTCACAAGTAAGGAAAAATACACGAATTGCTTATATGTAGGCCATTTTTGGAAAGACCAGGATAAATAACTATTATTATAAATAATAATTAAAATTGTTTATTACTAATTAAACAATAAATTGTTGTTGTTTATTTCCTTTTTTTAAAAAAAAAAATACAAAAATGCAGTTTTTTCCTAATTTTGCTATATGCAAATTTAAAAGTTATGAATAATATTTGTTTAAAAATTGAATTATTCTTCAATTTTTTAAATAAATAATTATTTAATACTTCTTATGTTTTTTTCAAAATATCTCTGAAAAAAAACAGTTTTTTTCTAATCTTGAAATTTACCAATTTAAAAATTGTGAAACGTAATATTTGAAAATTGAATTAGTTTTCAATTTTTTAAATCAATAATTATTCTTTTTTATTAAAAAAAACACATATAAATTGAATTTTCAAAAAGCACTTTTAAAAAAGCAGTTTTTAGAGAATTTTTCAAATTACTTATCTCAATGTTATTAAAAATAATAACTAAAAAGCAGATTATCCTTCAATTTTTTAAATAAATAATTATGGTTTTATTGCGAAAAAATACTAGAGACATGCTGATTAATTTTATATAAATTTGAAAGTAATTTTTTCATTTTCCAGGGAAACATTCTATTCAAAAAAATGGAATAAAACTGATCATTCATACTCTATTACAATTTAGGTTCAATTGGTAGGTTTTTTTGAAGGTATTACGTGTTGTTTTAAGGTAAAAAAATAATAGAGACATGCTGATTAATTTTATTTAAATTTAAAAGTAATTTCTTCATTTTCCAGGAAAACATTCTATTCAAAAAAATGGAATAAAATTGATCACTCTTAGTCTATTGCAGTTTAAGTTCAATTGGTAGGTTTTTTTGAAGGTATTACGTGTTGTTTTAAGGTAAAAAAATAATAGTGACATGCTGATTAATTTTATTTAAATTTGAAAGTAATTTCTTCATTTTCCAGGAAAACATTCTATTCAAAAAAATGGGATAAAATTGATCACTCTTAGTCTATTGCAGTTTAGGTTCAATTGGTAGGTTTTTTTGAAGGTATTACGTGTTGTTTTATGGTAAAAAAATAATAGTGACATGCTGATTAATTTTATTTAAATTTGAAAGTAATTTCTTCATTTTCCAGGAAAACATTCTATTCAAAAAAATGGGATAAAATTGATCACTCTTAGTCTATTGCAGTTTAGGTTCAATTGGTAGGTTTTCTTGAAGGTATTACGTGTTGTTTTAAGGTAAAAAAATAATAGAGACATGCTGATTAATTTTATTTGAATTTGAAAGAATTTTTTCATTTTCCAGGAAAACATTCTATTCAAAAAAATGGAATAAAACTGATGATTTATACGCTATTACAATTTAGGTTCAATTAGTAGGTTTTTTTAAAGGTATTACGTGTTATTTTATGGTAAAAAAATAATAGAGACGTGCTGATTAATTTTATTTGAATTTGAAAGTAATTTTTTCATTTTCCAGGGAAACATTCTATTCAAAAAAATGGAATAAAATTGATCACTCTTAGTCTATTGCAGTTTAGGTTCAATTGGTAGGTTTTTTTGAAGGTATTACGTGTTGTTTTAAGGTAAAAAAATAATAGTGACATGCTGATTAATTTTATTTGAATTTGAAAGAATTTTTTCATTTTCCAGGAAAACATTCTATTCAAAAAAATGGAATAAAACTGATGATTTATACGCTATTACAATTTAGGTTCAATTAGTAGGTTTTTTAAAGGTATTACGTGTTATTTTATGGTAAAAAAATAATAGAGACGTGCTGATTAATTTTATTTGAATTTGAAAGTAATTTTTTCATTTTCCAGGGAAACATTCTATTCAAAAAAATGGAATAAAATTGATCACTCTTAGTCTATTGCAGTTTAGGTTCAATTGGTAGGTTTTTTTGAAGGTATTACGTGTTGTTTTAAGGTAAAAAAATAATAGTGACATGCTGATTAATTTTATTTGAATTTGAAAGAATTTTTTCATTTTCCAGGAAAACATTCTATTCAAAAAAATGGAATAAAACTGATCATTCATACTCTATTACAATTTAGGTTCAATTGGTAGGTTTTTTTGAAGGTATTACGTGTTGTTTTAAGGTAAAAAAATAA